GTATGTACATATCTTCCACTTCTTTAGACAACACTTTTTTCTAATGAAATGAACATCAATCTCTATGTGTTTAGTCTGAGCATGAAACACGGGATTAAATGTAAGCATCGTAGCACCCACGTTATCACACCAACTGGAATATGTTCTATGCTAATGCCAACCTCTTTAAGCAAAGCTTGTAACCAAATAACTTCAGTTGTGCCTGCTGCTAACGCCCTGTATCCAGCTTCTGTACTGGATCTAGCAACAAGCTTTTGCTTCTTAGAACTCCAACTAATCAAATTGCCTCCTAGAAAAACACATAAGCCACGAGTAGACTTTCTATCGTCTAAAGAAGTTGCCTAATCTGCATCACTAAAACACTCCAAATGCAGCCTCTAAGAAGCCTTGAACTGCAGGCCTACTTCTGGTGTACTTTCTGAGATATTTTAGAACTCTTTCGTAAGTTGACCAGTGATATATTTTAGGTGCATGTAGAAACTGACTAAGCTTATTTACATATTGCTAAGTCATTGTTTGTAAAGCACCAATTGTACTTCCATACACAGTAGGATGATCAAACTCTTTGTTATCTCCTAGAAACAGCTTCTTATTTTGACACATGAGAGACAAACTTAGCTTAAATTTTGACATGTTAGTTTTCTCCAACAAATTAGTAAGATACTTCTTACGAGTAACCTTAATATCAGTACTATCTCTATGAGCTTCACAACCAAGAAAGTAATGCACAGAACCCAAGGTTTTGAGAGCAAATTGTGAATTCAGATCATGAACCAACAAGGCTATTTGTTGTGAATCCTCCCCTGTGATGAGTATATCATCAACATAGACCAAGAAAAGAAGTAATTTGCCATTTACCCTTGAGAAAAACAAAGAACTATCTGAAACAGAAGTCTGAAAACCTTTTTGCTTAAGCTTGTCAAACCAAGCTCTTGGAGCTTGTTTTAGACCATACAAGGCTTTTGTTAATCTACAAACATGATAGGCTTGCTCTTATCTCCAAAACCCTCTGGTTGAGATATGAAAACTGTCTCTTGAAGATCACCATTCAGACTAGCATTATTAACATCAATATATTAAATATCTCATCCATAAGTAACAGCTAGAGTAAAGCAACATAAATTCTAGAGGCTTTAACAATTGGACTAAAAGTTTCAAAGTAGTCCACACTAGTTGTTTGTTGAAAACCTTTTGCCACTAAACGAACCTTAAACTCGTCTATGGAACCATCTACCTTGTATTTTATTCGAAACATCCATTGATTAGCTACAACATGCATATCTGGAGTCTAAGGAACAAGCTGTCAAGTGTTATTCCTAATTAAAGCTGTAAATTCATCATTCAATGGCCTCTTTCTATTGAGGATCAACAGTAAATAAATTTTCAACGCGACAATATAAATACTAAAAGTATTAAGATTCTGGTTGGTCACAATAGTGGCGTGGTAGATATGATGATAGTGATCGAGGCACAGTGACAGATACTGTGGTGCCAGTTTTGATAATGATGACTGTTGTGGTACAGAAGTGAGGAACATAAGGAGTGAATTTAGAGAGAGGGAAGATAAAAGTGAATTTACTAAGATAAACATAAACTAAACTTATTTACAAATGTAAGGTGGGAATTTTGTGTCATTTTGACTTCTAGGGTAACAGGTAGGGGTGTAAATCGGTCAGGTAGGGTCGGGTTGAGCCGAAAAATTGAGCCGACCCGATCAATGCGGATTGAGAAAATTTTGGGCCGCAACACTCTCTTAAGTCTACAAATCTGCAACCTTTCGGGTGATCTCGGGTAGGCTCGGGTTACTCGGGTTGGTGAAAACTAATTTTAATCTATGCCTTCATACCTCTTTTAATAATCCAAAAGCATAAAATCCATAAACAGTCCATAAGCATTAACATAACATCATACATACTTTTTAACAGTCAATAAAGTCACGAAATAAAATTAATACGTCAAATAAACAGTCCATATAAAGATAGTCCAGCAAAATAGGAAATTTAGTCCACACCAAACAGTTTAATCCAGAATAATAGCACCTTCATTCCCAACTTGCCCCTCATGTGTTGCAACAGATTTGACAAATCTTGAGAAGAAAACATAACAAAAAAAATCATCAGAATCAAGTTTAGGACAACAAAATAAACAACAAGGAGATGAAATAAAATTAAAAAAAATAAGTAAAACGTAAAAAGATTACCTGACTCAATATCTTCATATTCATTAAAGTCTTCCACGTCAATAAGGTTGATGTGCTCACGACTACGCAGCCAATATTGTGTACAAATCAATGCCTCCACCATCTTGGGGCTCAATGAACTCCTAAAGGGATCGAGGATGCGGCCTCCGGTATTAAAAGCAAATTCTGAGGCTACCGTTGAAACATGAATGACAAGATTGTCTCTTGCAACTAGTAAGAGAACCTTGTAATTAGTTGCATTATTCTTCCACCAATCTAAAACATCAAAATTTGACCAAGTTGGATCCTCCATAGGGTCTGTCAAGTATCTATCCACATCATTTTTGTACTCATTCACATTCTTCTCCTTCATTTTTCTAACAAAGGAGCTCTACAAACACCCTTTTCCTTCTACTTCTGTTTTTGCCTCCGTTGTACTTGTTGTTGCCGCCTCCCCACTACTTTCATTAGCCACAGATTCACCCTTGTCCCCATTATAAACCTCATGCAGTCGGTACATAGTACTCTTCACATTCTTTGCTAATGTTTCAGAAGTGCAAGAATCATACACTATAGAGAAACAATATGTCAAATAATCCATTTTGTACCTAGGATCAAGTACAACAGCCACAAAGAGTCTTATGTTTCCACTCAATTAATATACTATAAATTATACTTATGTTCCCACTCAATTAATATAAGGCTTAACACACTATTAAGAATCTTAATAGTGTGTTAAGCCTACAAAATACAAAATACTAAATTTTCCTTTCTGTTTTCTTTAATATAAGGCTTAACACACATATTGTTAAAATACAACTGCGAAAAGCCATTTTCTTTTCCTTCGATTTCAAAATTTTTGCTAAAAACAACATCAAGTGAAAAGGGAGCATCAACCAAAAACAACACCAACCAAAAAGGAAATCAAACAAACAGACCCATTTATGTTTGGTTTTCTCTGATTCAGAGATAAATCAAAAAACAAAACAAAACAAAATCTGGAAGAAGAAGAGGAACGGAGGTTTACGATGAACGGCGAGGAACGACGAGTGTAAGGAACGATGAGGAACGACGAGTGTGAGGAACGGCGAGAAACGGTGAGGAACGGCAAGGAATGACGAGGAACGGCGAGGAACGGCGTGGAAGGGCGAGGGACGGCGAGGAACAACGAGAAATTTAAGGATGAGGGATTTAGGGTGAAGTGGAACAGAGAATGAGAAGGAGGAGGCGAGGCATGCGTGAGTGAAGTGAGGCGAGAGGCGAGAGGCGAGAGGAGAGGAGGGAGGCGAGAGACTGAGGAGGGATTTAGGGTTACAAGCTTACAGCATGCCTGGCCTGGGGTTACGAGGTAGGTGAAGAACGACCGGGTCGGGGCATTGCGGGTTCAAGAATGCCCGACCCACCCCCAACCCGCACAGTGCGTGTTGGGACTATTTAAATCTGAATTTTTATTAAAAAAAAACCTATTTATTCGGGTTGTGCGGGTTAGGTCGGCGGATTTTTCGGGTTCGGACTCAATTCTTACACCCTTAGTAATAGGAAAGCCAAATTTAAATTAGGGTTGATTTTAATTTTAACTCTTAAGAAATCTCATTTTATCTTTTATACTTTCAAATGTCACTTTACTAGTATCTATGCTTTTGCACTATTAATCCTTTCGTAACAGAATTGTTAAAAAAAAATAGAAGGAATGTGCATATAAGGTGCTCGTGATGGTCTAAATTATATAATTTAGAGACAAAATCCCCAAATCCCATTGTTGAGGGAAGAATAAGAGCATACTAAAATTTCTTGTTCTAAATCAGATAATTTAGAACAAGGGCATGATCAATGGCTTTTTTGACAGCTCCAGTCACATGACGTGCACCTCACATGTTTATTTCGTCTACTTTTCAACAATTTTGTCAAGAATGACCAACCGTGTCATGATTATAAAGCTCAAGTGACAGCAGTGTGACATTTAAAAGTTTAAAGGACAAAGTAAGACAACAAATATTTCTTGGTGTAAAAATTGAAATTGTTTGAAATTATTAATTAACCAAAATAAGAGATAAAATTACATTGTGGGTCCTACTTCTCGCTACATGTCAAATGGTCCGCTTGGAAGAAAAGAAAATGTTCACCCTTAAAAAAAAGGATTAATTACAAAAATTCTCTCTAAATTATACTCATTGTAACACTTTACCTTCTGATCTTTAAAATGTAACATCTATTCCCCCTTAATAATGAAATGTTAACTGAAAAGACTCATCCGTTAGGTTTTTAACTGAAATTGACGTTTAATTTGAGGATATTTTAGTAATTTTATTATTTAAAATTTAATTTGAATTTAAACTATTTTAAATATTAAAAAAATACATCATAAATGTTTTTATTCCACCAAAAAAGATTCATAAAATTTTTAATTTATATTCAATTAATAATAACTGTATAATAATTAAAAGTTTAAATTTAAATAGTTTTAAATTTAAACTAAATTTTAAACCATAAAAATACTAGAATATTTTAAAATAATACATTAAATATCAATTTTTATTAAAAAACTTAACGATGAGATTTTTTATTAATATTTTATTATTTAAGAGAATATATATTGCGTTTTAAAAATTAACAACAAAGTGTTACAAGCCGTTTGGTAGAGAAATTTATTCTCTGATTTGAATCATGATTCGTAATTTGTTACAGTATTTTTTCTCATAAAAAATACACATAAATTAAAAATAATTCGAATCACATAATTTAAATTCTTCAACTAAACGTCACGTTATTTTGTAATTAATCCTTAAAAAAAATCTCTTCTAACTCATAGGGTGCTCTCCATAAGCAAAGGACCTCGTGAAATAATTGGAAAGGAAGAAGAAGAAGAAAGAAGAAGAAAGAAGAAGAAGAAGAAGAGAACCAAACACAAAGAATCCAATATTTTACCTGTACTTTGATGGACAGTTTTGGGCACAGGCAATCTTCTTTCTTCTATCTCTCTCTCTTTCAATTCCTTATGTAGAATCGGCCTGCGCAGCCACGGACAATCTTCCAGTGGGCTCGACTCCATAGCGAGAAAAATTGACCCCGAAACCTTTCGTAAGTCCTCTATCAATTCCTTTTCTGTTTTTCTTTCTCTTTTTTTTTTTTTTTTGGTTAATCATTGAAATGAAAAATTCTTTTTCTCTGAATTAATTTTGGTTATGCTCTCAAATTCGTTTCTTTTGGTTTTTGTACGGTTCTGTAAATGAAAATTTTTAGATTCTTTAGCGCGTTTCCTTTCATCTGTTTGTAAATTTGTGTCTTTATACGAATTGCTTTATTGGGATTTTTCTTAATGGTTGTAATATTTCGAATTTTGATTCAAAAGTTGTAAATTTTAAGGAATTCCAATTTCTTTTCACTATTGGGTTTTTATGCAATGGGTATTCAACAAAAGTACAATGTATAACCAGTATGCCTCATGAAAGAAATATCAAAAAAATCAGCAATTTTATACAATCGAGTGTCTGCATTCTTCATTTTATGTCAATTGGGTTCCATATAACTATTAGGTTCATTTTTTGAATAATGAAAACAAGTTAAATTTGGTTTATACTTTATATCAAGTTTCCGAATTCAAAGTAATATTATCCGGGACAAGTTGCTGTCTTATATTGGTAATTATCTCAACGACATATTGTTGATTCTTGCCTAATGCTAGTCAGGGCCTGAGTATGTTTTCAGATAGATGGCGGCAAGAAGGAGAATTCCAACAACTTTGGAGGGACATCTTGTCCGAGCTCGAGGGACGGTGCGTCATGGTACAGTTCCTGGATCGAGCCCTCTTGTTGTTGGCCACCGCCCGTTAGAGATAATTCATCATCCCGAATTACTAGAAACTAAGATTGCTGCCCAGGCTGCGGAGATAAAAACACTCGTAGGGGACAACCAAAGATTGGCAGCCACACATGTGGTTCTGCGGGAAGAGCTTGTGGTTGCTCAGTAGGAAGTACAAAGACTCAAAGCGCACATGAAAAGTAGCCAGGCTGAGAGTGATGTTCAAATCCGGGTTTTGGTCGATAAGATTGCAAGAGCAGAGGCTGACATTAGAGCTGGAGAGGCTGTGAAGAAGGACTTACAACAGGCACGGAAGGATGCACAGAGCTTGGTTGCTGCCCGACGGGAGCTGACTGTTCGAATTCAAGAGGTAACTAAGGAACTGCAGAAGGCCCGTGCAGATGTTAAGAGCATACCGGACTTGCTTGCTGAAGTTGAAAGTTTGAGAAAAGAACACCAGAGGTTGCGGTGAGTCATGCAAGCTGTTAAATTCCATGAGATTCCTAGTAGCCTTGCATATAAAGCATGTAGCTTCCTTGCCATTTAATTATTGCACCCTTGACACTTTTGACTTCTGGGTAGCTGAGATTAATCTAATTCAATTTTGAGGCAAAAACTTCTTTATGTTTCATTGTCTTGCAAGATTAATATCATAGTGCCCTGAGTCCAATTTTTCCGAGGATCATCGAATATGATGCTGAGCCAGTTATGAATCCAAAATAGAATAGAGCTGTCAAATTTTTATTTTTTTATTTTTTTATTTTTAATTCATATTCCTTTGTTCTGCCACCTTAATTGAGAATAATGCTACAAATGGTAGTGCCTGAATATCAGCAGTAGATATTGCCCTGATATTGCCATAATATTGGGATATCCTTAGTTGGTAAACAACATTGGAGGAGTGTCGTCTGCATCCACAAATTATATGATAATAAACTTGTTTAAGCCTGCTTTTATGGTAATTCATGTTTTAACCAAAGAACTCATAACACATATCTGATGCAATGATTTTTAGTGTTAGCTGCAACTTGCATGTTTCTTGCATGACCAGAACTCAATTACACTTCATCTTATATTGAGAAAATTTCATTTTCCGTTCACTTATTCTAATTCTTAAATATGTTTTTGTTTACGTAGCACTACGTTTGAGTATGAAAAGGGTTTAAACATAGAGCAAGTTGAGGAACTACAAGCAATGGAAAAGAAACTGATTGCAATGTCAGGGGAAGTAGAGAAGTTAAAGGTTGACGTCTTTAATGCAGAGAAGAAAGCACATGGTAATTTATCTCAATTTTCTCTAACGAGCTGCTGTGATCCTAAAATTTTCTTAAGACGATTCTATTCTAATCATTTTTCCAATGCATACAGCACCGAGTCCATACATTGGCAGTTACATGAATCCAGATTTTTCGTATCGACCCCCTATGCTAGGCAATGTTGCATATGTTGATAGTTATGGTAGGCCACATGTTCAGATGGGTGGTTGGCCAGCAGGAGAGGGAATGATTGGAAGCAGCGGACTCATGGCTGCTCCTGTTGTAGCTTTCCCTCCAACTGAGATTTCCACTGTTCCTTCCAGTGGGGTTGCTGCCGTTCCTTCCAGCATGGTTTCTGATGTCCCTACAAATGGAGGTGCAGCTATCCCTGCAGTCACGGATGGTGCTATCCCTGGAAGTGCGGGAGCTTCTGCCTCTATGAGTGGCGGTGATGCTGGCTCTGCTGAACATGCTCAATGGTGAATATTGTGCAACTTGCCTTTGTAAACTTTTAAAGTGTTTTTTTTTTTTTTTTTTTTTTTTTTTTTTTTTTTTTTTTGCAGCTTTGCGGCTTTTAAAATGCGCAGGTATAGTTGTGTCCTCGCGATAAAGTATAACACCAGGACAGATCTCTGTAGCCTACCCTTGTAGGATTTTCAATTGTTTCTTAGAAGAATGTTCATTATTATTATTTTTTGGATAACCATGGTGTCCGAGACTTTGCCCTGACTAATCCATAGGATCCATGCAAAACGCCCCTCCACATGGATTGGGTAAATCTCGGGTCTTTGGCCAGCAGGTGCGGCCCCAAGGAATTGATAGCACTAAATGGGACCTTAGACCTAATGCTTCATGAGGCACTAAGTCCATAAACCATTTCTTGGTGATAACTGATGTGTGTAAATCTAGGTAATTGGCTAGTGCCTAGTAGAAAGGAAAGCTTGACTGCAAAGGGCACTGAAAAGTCCACTGAGAATTTCTTTTTGGGAACCATTCTGGTAGTGTCACTTTATTATTGCATTGGATAGTTCAATCCAGCAATCACTGAGAGTGTGATTCTTGAAGTGTCCCCAAGGGATAAACAAAGTGACAGCCTTTTCTATTGACATATTAGTGTTAAGTTATTAGCAGTTTTGGATATTAGCAAAAGAGTAATCTTATTTGTTCCAATGTAATTAAATCCCCACTTTTTTACAAAAGGTGGGCCCTACAAGTGGGTCTCACAAGTTGATATGTAACAATGGGCCGGAGCCCATGGGTTGGCCCAGGCCCATCTTGATACAGTGACGGGCCGGGCCGACACGGCCCGTCACTGTTCAAGGCACGGCCCAGTCCATAAATATTGGTAGGTTGGGCTGGGTCAACATATATCGGCCCATGGGTCGGCCCGGCATGGCCCATGAATAATCATGGGCTAGGCCGGGCCGGGCCGGCGGGCCAGCCCGGCCCATCTAGACCCATAATATCTTCGTGTTTTTTTTCCTTTTTTTTTAATAATTTTGTAAACATCTTATGTATAATTATCCTAATTGTACTCTTTTTTCCTTACTAAGGTTTTGTCCCACTGGGTTTTTCTTAGAAATGTTTTTATTTAATAAGGCAATCGTAAATAAAATATTCATTTTCATATTTCCATTGACTATTCAAACTTTTATATTTTTTAACTTATTTAAAAATTTAAAAATTTAAATTAAAATTAAAAAATTAAAAATTACATGCTTAAATGAGCTAGTCCATCTAAACCCATGATGAGCCAAGATGGGTCTTGAATGAGCCAGCCCATTTAAGGCCCATGGCACGGCCCATCCTGGCCCACGGCACGACCCAACCTGACCCACGTAAAATTGGCCCGTGGTATGAGCTGGGCCGAGGTAATTTTTATACGGGTCGGCCAGTCCGGCCTGGCCCACAAAATTTGTGGGGCCCATTCTTGCATCTCTACTCACAAAGTGGGTTTCACTCTCTATGAGAGTGTGGGGATATATTCTTATCGGGTTATATAATATTTTTAAAAAAATCATTTGCTTGATGGGGATTTATTCTTATCATGAGTTGATAGTGATAAATCTCGTTGAACTTTCAGAATTATTCTTAACCAAATAATTTTAAAGATGGTTGACCTGTCATTACTCTTTTCTTCCCTAATCTTTTACCCTTTTACCTTTCTCATAATGACAAGTAAGAATATGGAATAAGAAGTATGTGCAATAATAACATAAATGAAACAACTAAGAGGAAAAAAGTTTCAAAATTTTGTGATTAGAAATGAAAAGAAAAAATAATGGTGACGAAAGAAAAAATTTGAGTTGTCGAAGTCCCTCATTTTCCATGATGCTGCCATCTTATTTCAAAAAACAAGAAACAACAAGCAAATAGTTGTAACACGATTTATATGAGGAGCATCCAAAGTTTCCACCATTACCATTTGCTCTTGAATATGTTAAGAAGTCCTTATTTACAAGAATCACACTTATAAAAACAACACATTCAAGTCGTTCTTCAACAAATTGAGATGACAACATGACTAAAATTTGGTGGGAGTATTGATATGAGGTCTAACATATTTTCAATTTTCCAATTCAGTGTTGGCGGAAGTTTTGCAAAATGTTACCATTTATCCATGAAAAAATGGTGGTTATTTTATGAGAAAATTGGTGAACACCCTTAGAGTTTATGAAGATTGATTTTTACTTTTTACTCTTAATTAATATCTTTTTAATTAATATAGTTATTTAACTAAAAATGATATTAAGAAATAATAAGGGGTAAAAATTCAGAACTATATACTTCAATGGATATTTGCCTTATTTTTTCTTATTTTATTGGATGAAGAAAAGACCTTAAAAAGATGAGGTTTAAATACTTTCAATTTTCAAGTCTGTCAGTTTTGCAAACTTTCTATTGATTTTTGACTATATTTAATATTTACCGTAGAGAAGCTTCCAAGTTTAAAACATCGAAATACAAGGACAATTGAGAATTCTTTGAAATAGAGTTATTTTGTCACATCTTTTGTATTAGAATTGGCTAAGTTCTTCATATTTTTATTTTATTTTGCTTTGTTTTTAGTTTGTTTTGTTTTTAGTTGTTTAGTTTAGTTTTAATTATATTAGAAATAGACGGTTTTTGTTCATTCATCTTCTGTTTGAGTAATTTCAGTCAGTAATTTAGGTTTATTTTTCGTAAGAGTGAATGGAAAATAGAGCTCAAAAGTGAAGAAATGAGACTAATTTTATATGGCCAAAGCCGCGGCTCTGAAAAAGTTAAGTTGAGGCGCTAGAAGTGAAAAAATACAAAAATCAAGAGAGTCCAAGGCCATGGCTTTGGAAAATTTGAGCTGCAAAATTTGAGTTGCAGCTCTAGAAGCGGCAATCCATGGCCATGGCACTAGAAAATTTGAGCCACGGCCCTAGAAGCAATGATGTAGAGCCATGGCACTAGAAAATTACAACCAAGACGTTGATGCGATTTCAGGAACACAAATTTTTTGAAATATGCAACTTTTACCCTAGTTTTGAGACACACGAGAGAGAAAGATAGAAGGACAACTAGGAGGCATTCTTGGAGACTTTTGGAGAACCGTTTGCACACATTTGAAGAGGATATTGACAGAGAATTGAAGCGCGATCATCCCGTTCAAGATTCTTAGACTTTCTTAATCTCTTTCTCTCTTTATGCTAGTTTGCAATTGATGTTGAATATTATTTTCATAAACTAAGGACATGTTCTTTTGTCCAAAAAACTCAAAAAAAGACAACTCAAGTTCTAACTTTATTCAAGTTCACGTTCTTTTAAGTTTTAACTTTATTCAACTTTACTCAACTTTATTCAAATTACAATTTCAACTCAAGTTATAACTCAAATTCAACTCAAAAACTACACTCAAGTTACACTCTAAAAAAACAACCCCTAAGTTTTCTCTGCCAGGACTACAAGTGTAGTCAAGATGATGAATATTTGAATCTAGTTTTATTATCTTTCAATGACGTAGTTCACTAAGAGTCTAACATTCATGATTGTTGTTTCTTTTACTTGTCTTAATGCTTTCGAATACCTTATCAATATTTGAATTGTGTGGAAGACCAAGATTGATGCTCAAGGAGATATTTAAGAATAGTTTCTCATAAAAGGAACCATAAGGTGCATGCGATAGCTAGCGAGTAACATGATTTGTGTGAATTGTTAGACTTTGAGGCGCCCATAATGGTGCATAGTTCAAAAGTCAACGCTTGGATTTTAATATCTTGACAGATTGAGTAATCAGATAACTTATTATCGGACAAATAATAAGAGAGATACTTTCCATATTTTGTGCTTGCTCCCTTTATGATAGATGTGGCTATAAATAGCTAGATCGCAAGGCACAAATATAAGAAGAACGAGCGTTACAAAAATACGTCGAAACTCTATCAGTTTTCTCTCTCTCTCTCTCTCTCTCTCTCTCTCTCTCTCTCTCTCTCTCTCTCTCTCTCTCTCTCTCTCTCTCTCTCTCTCTCTCTCTCTCTCTCTCTCTCTCTCTCTCTCTCTCTCTCTCTCTCTCTCTCTCTCTCTCTCTCTCTCTCTCTCTCTCTCTCTCTCCTAGTCTTCTATAGGTTCTTGAGTTGTGGATTTATTGTGGTTGTTTGGGCTCTGCCTTTGTAATAACCACACACCGTGAGCAATCAAGGATGTGGTGATAATCTTGATCATGGAGGATCGTGACTTGGAGCATGAAGATCATTTTCGTGACTAGAGTATCGTGAGGCTATCCTGTGGCGAATCTTGTACCGGAATCGAATTAGAGATCTAAGTCGGAACCATTGTAGACGCTTCGGTACATGTACCCGGTGGTATGTTTTCCTTCATCAATAAAGAGAATCATAAAGCGTAATGGATTTTTAGGATTGTGGAATTCACATCGAGCGATAATGAGCATGTTAGAAATATTAATAGCATCTTCAGAATGAATATTGAACAAATTAGGGATTCTATTTCTAATGCATGTATAATAGAGATATTAGTTAGTAGTTGAAATCAAATATGAATTGTCCTAGTGAACTTGTGTGTTCTAGTGCTTCTTTTGTCATTGAATTTTCGTTTAATTTATATTTTGCATTTATTTTCTTTAATTTTCATTTTTTTATTTACTGCAATTATTCCCTTTTAAGCATTATTGTCTAAATAAATTAAGAGTATTATAATTTTAGTAATTGTCAAATTAGTCTTTGAGGGAACAATATCCTATTCTCTATGTATTACTTGAAATGATTCGTGCACTTCTGAAAAATCAACATCAAATATTATATAGCAAAAACTCTCAACAATTTTGTTTTTCCTTCCCTCAAATTGTTTTGCATTTTATTTTTCTCCTGCTAACTTTCGGATTAACTTCAATTTGGTCTCGAAAAATAAAAGTGGTCTTTTTTTTTCTCTTACAACTAAAAATGATACAAAACTCCTTCATGAACTTGAAAACTTTTCTGGCAGAATCAAAAAAATAAACTATCGGTAGTTTTCTATTTTCAACCATCAAATTTGCATTGAAAATTGTCTATTGTACATACTTTTTCAGTCTGATGTGATTTTGATCTGATTTATTGTCCTATAAAAGAAACTCCACATGAACTTATAGTAAGTTGCAATTTAATACTTGCGCCATTGAAGCATTTTTTTTTTTTTAACAAGTGGTTCACGCAACTATAGAGGATAATATAGTAAAACCAAAACATTGTAAACATAAAATTTAAAAGAATAAGAAAATTGCAAATTGTTCCTCACGCTAACTTTTGGCATCGCCTCCTTATTTATTTTTAATCCCCACATCGTCGTCACCCTCCTATATTGCATCTTACCAACTCATTATATGACTCACATATGATTAAACCGTTATGTTTCGTTGATGGAAGTATCAAAATTACAATTTCAGATAAGCTGAGGAGTGAGTTTTGGCAAATTTAAATTGTAAGGGCAAAGTACCACCGGTGGTGGTGGTGGTATGACAGTAAGAGGATGACCTACTATGGCTCCCTCTCTCATCATCTAGAGATTGATTCCCTTTATCTACAATGAGGCTGCAATCATACCTTTCAGTGGACCTGCCGAATATGATTTGGGCCTGCTGTGATTTTGGTTCTATAGATGTTAGTAGACGAAATCATGAGTCGGATTTCCTTGTCGTTTTACCTGTAATCTCAATAAATTCATGTTATAGGCATTGAGCGATTGCGTAAAGACACTATCGATCCTTTTTAGCAAAAAAGAAAAAATTGTAAGAGTAGAGAGATAACTCTTATACCAAACATAATAATATTACAGATTCTCATTCTCATCTTTAAGATTATTGCATACTAAATGCCTCCTTAACAAATTAAAAATTGACCCCAACTTTTGACGACTTCACTTTGTCATCTCTATACTTAAAAAGAGCCAATGCTCTCCTATGACAACTCCTCTTGTACCTTTTTTTTTCCCCTTCTTCCTTACCTTTTGTATCTTTATTTTTTTAGTTTTATATGTTTTGTTTTCTTATTTTTTAAAATCTCTTATTGTTTTTTTTACATTTTTATTTTTTACTTGTGGGTTTTTAAATTATATTTTTTTCACTTTATTCTTAATTTCTTTTAGATGTGTTTCTATTTAAATTTTTGTTTCTTCAAATGTATCCTTAATTATTTTCTACATAATTCCTATCATATTAAAATTATCCTTACACTATTTTTTTTATACTAAATCGTTTTTGGTTTAATTTATAATTATATAAATCTTTTCCACTATAAATGTTTAAAGTTAGAAGCGAATATTGTTTCAACTAAAATTTACAAAAGGAAAAACTTATTTTTAAAATAAATTCAAAAATATTTAAATAGTTTAATAAATAAATTTCTCATTGTACACGTTCTTAAAACTAATACTACAAAGTGGGCCTTGGTCACCAAAGGAACCTAAGATCCAACGGTCTCCTTTATAATAGAATTGGATTTTTCTTATTTTTTATTTTTCCATCTTTTCTCTTTTGGCTGCTTTCCTAAGACCTCTGTTTTTCCGAATTGTGGAAAACTCCCGAGTTATTGTCTTTCTTTGATCCGATCAGTCATGGCCGAGGTATGTCTCTACACATTTTCTCTCTTAATGTGTTATTTCTTCTCTTTGATTTCTGAGAAACCCTAGGAAATGAAAGTTTCAGAATCGCAATTCTTTTCTGAGAAATAAAATCCCTAGTTTCATCAATTTCAGCGTTTTCATTTTCGCCAAAAAAAAAAAAAGGAAAAGAAACTTCTGATTCCTGTTATCGTCAATTTTTCCTATTGTCTAATAGTAATTTGACGACCAGGCGATTGCGATTTGCATTGATTTATGCGTTGTTTTTCTGATTGGATTAGTTTGAAACCGTTTGATTTAAGCGCCGTTAATTGGCCCAATGAAATTTTGGTGGGTTATTTTTGGGTAATTTTGTGCCGTGAGAGGATTAATTTTGTTAATGAATATATTTTAACAGATTCATTTTAAAACCGAATTTAGTGTTTTTGGTTGAAATAAATTTAAATTTCACGAATTTTTGTTGAGCCGTTGAGTTTTAATTTAGCTGAGATTAGGTTTAATGTCATGGGTATTTGCCCATTTATTCTTGCGTTTATATATATTTGGCTATGAAGTGCGTTGTCTTTGTAATGCAGATACAATTATGAGATATTTCCCTTGTTCTTTTTCTTAACAGGGTTTTCTCACTGGATTTGTTATCAGGGGCCTTTTTCACTTCTTTGAACTTTGTATGAAAAGAATCTGAATTGGTGGTTTTCTGGGAATTCTAGATATTTTAGTGTATTTGCTTCAGTTTGAAACTTGCTGATAACTGCAATTATCTTATTATGTTTTCCATTGGGGGTTGTTTGGGTAACAATTTAACCAAATATCCTATAAGTTTGAATCAGTAAATTGTTGTTGTTATATTGGAATAGTACTTTGTTTACAATGACATCCGCTGTGTGTTTGGCGTTTGGGCAAGGATCTAAGTTATCTAACGTTCATTCGGTACTTTGATTCTGAAGAGAATTTATAGTGGCAGGTGCTTAAAGTTCCATTGTGTTTTGCGTTACTAGTATTGGTCATTGTGGAATTCTAAGATTGTCTGTTGCTCTTGAGCTGCATAAACATTTTTCATTTTTAGTTTAGGGAACATACATGCTCCATCAGCAACACCTTTGAGAAATTTTTATCACCTTTTGATTAGTCTGAAATTGTGAGATCTGTTCGTCTTTACTTCCTTAAGAAATTGAAAGGAAGTAATGAAAACCTTAGCCTATCATGAGTTTTCATCAGTAGACCTCTTTTGAGTGAACTGCTAGTCAGATCTTTTCCAAATCCCTCAAACAATGTTTCTAAAGTTGGTTTTGGAGAATTCCATGTTGGTGTTGGGGAATGGGATAAATTGCGTTAGAATTACGATTCAAGTTGGCGGTATGTTCTCAATTGCTACAATATGTTGTCATTAAATATACTCATTCTTCCATTGCTTGCAGATTGCGCTCAAAACAGCACCTGCTGATTTTCGTTTCCCCACTACAAATCAAACTAGACACTGTTTCACTCGTTACATTGAATTCCACAGGTACTTTTTATCAGTTGGGAAAATTCTTCTTTGTGGGTATTAAAACTTAATATCGAGGATTTTCTTTTTCACCTGTTGTAATGTCTATTCCCAATATAGGTGCTTGGCAGCAAAGGGTGAAGAGTCTGGTGAATGTGAGAAATTCGCAAGATATTACCGTTCTCTCTGTCCTGGTGAATGGGTGAGTAATTTAGCTTATTGTGTTCCCGTGGCTAGAAAAGTGTTCTTATTTTGATGATCAAAGAAAAAAGTTGTAGTCTCGCTATGCTTATGAAAGCAAACTAGTTCATATATTAACCCTTTTTCTTTTGAACTTGTTTTCGCAGGTTGAGAAGTGGAATGAGCAGAGGGAGAATGGATGTTTCCCAGGCCCTCTCTAATGTTTGCATTGCTCTTGGATGATCTCTACTTCATATGAAGATTTGCTTATTTTCTCAAGTTAGTTGCATGACATTCTTGTTGGATTTTTGTTAATAAGGCGACATATGGGATCTCTCTGAACCTTTTCTTTTCCTTTGGTGAAATGTGGACAAGTTGTTCATGGGCAAAGGCCCTGACATGACATTCAAATTTTAATGATGTTTCGGTTTACTGTCTCGCCCTGTGGAACGTTTTGAACAGAAAAAGATTGGTGGAAACAAGAAACTAGTTTAAGGAAAGTGAAGATAAGATCTCAAAGGGTATGAGATCAAGAGTTCATTTTTAATGTGTACAGAGGGGGGAAGCATTTAGATCAAGTGTTTATTCTTTTTTTAAAGATTTTTTTAATGTGGTTTGAGCTGTCTTTTGGTAGTGTAAGATTTAAATAGGGAATAAAGTTTGAACCAGTGTTTGATAACAGGGTTTTTAAGAACTACGGGTTTCAAGGTTGGTGGGAACTTTGGGGTGCACGGGTTAGAACTATCAGAACTGTGTGTGTGGTTGGTGGGTGGGTGGGTGGGGAACCCAAGTTCAAGTCCAAACTATCATGTAACCAAACAAGGGTTTAAACTGTTTTTTGGATTCAAACCCTCTAATCAAACAACCAATTACGAATTTTTGTCAGGTTGGTTTAGAATATTCGTATGCTCATGATTGGTTGGACAGCCTCCCTAAATTCTAACATTTCAAACCTTTCTACAATGGAAAGTGTTGTCTTTTTTCGCTTTAACTTCAAATTAAAATATGTCATAACTTTTTTTTTCTTTTTAACTCCTATTGAGATATTTTTTTTCCCTGTGTGTCCGCAACAAAGAGAGGAACAAATTTATATATATTGCGTATTAAAATTTGTCATTTACAATAAAGTTTCAAAATATATGGTGCAAAATTCTAATAACAGTTTTTAACTCTATGTAAACACAATTTAAATTTTATTCTCAATTTAAATTACAAATTATTCATTTATCTAAACACCATTTTAAATCACTACAGTTCAAACTTTTAAGTTCGAATCACCTTAGTTCTAATGATCACAGTTCAAAATATTGAACCAAATAGTGTCTACATTTTAATATTGTGTTAAATATCATAGAAGTAGATGAGGAATTATTCAGTAGACTGAATGTATCACGTTATTTTATTTATGTGATACACTCGTCTAATAAAAATGTATTATCTAGACACTTTGTCTATGTCAGCATTTACACTTATCTTTTCTTTCCTAATGGATATTGCAGTGATTGTTGAGTTAAAACTACCATAATTATTGTACCCAATTTTCTTTTTTAATCAATTGACTTTAAATTATCATTTTTATTTCTAAAGTACTATTACGCAATTAGCTTTGTGAGCGTCCCTCGCTTTTCCATCGACAGAGGAAAAAAATGCTTTCTATCATCTATTTGGAGTCTACACAATCAAGCAGCTAATATCTTTCAATTTACCATTGAAAAGTTGAAGGGGAAACTCCAAGAGATCAATAACTAACACCTAGCAAAATTGAAATTGAAAAGGGAATTCATATCTATTGAAAGTTTTGTTAAGGTCTTAATTTTTTATGATATTTCTTTTAAATAATTTTGAGGAGCTGGGTAATGATTCTTGTGTTATATATACATATATATTAGAAAAAGAATCTCAATATGTACATTGTATTCGGCCTTTTCTGGGCTTGCTTTCTTTTTCTGGTTGTGTTGCTAAATGGCTTTAGTTCTTTTGCTTCTTGTGCTGGCCTTGTGCCATTTAATGAAGTATCAATTTCCTTGAAAAAATTTTTTGATATATTAGAATGAAAAAAAAAAAAAATGTTTGAAGTTTTATATGCTTTCTTATAGATGACATTGAATTCATCAATAGAGAAGGTGATAATGATGATTTGTTGGAGAAAGTAGTATCTAGTGAGCATGAGGTCTATGAATTTTATAAAGGTTTTAGAAAAGATGAGGTTTCTTATGAGGAAAAGAAAGTGAATAGGCTGGACACAAGAACTGGTTGCAAAGCTTTTATATGATTTGCAAATAAATAACAGAGCCATGAGCTTGCAACACCATAAGAAAGGCATTTGCTCAAATCTGGAGTCTGGACGTTGTACTTCAAAAGCAAAAGCAGGCCAGGTTATTTATTCAAGAGAGAAAGAGAAAAATAGGCCAAGACTTGAGATGAATTAAAATTAATAGGTCAATAGTTTATATAAATTAATAAATATGTCAAATTACTATTTTTGTCCATAACTTGTCTGGTTATGAACCATAACTTGACAAGTTATTTACAGTTTTTGTCCATAACTTGTCTGGCTATGGTCCATAACTTGTCTGGTTATGGACCATAACTTAACAAGTTTGTCCATAACTTATCTGGTTATAAACTATAACTTGACAAGTTATGGCCTATTAATTTCTATAACTAAAAATTGACCTATATACTTTCTTAAACTTTTCATATTGGCATATTTTTTACTATTTTCCTTTATTCAATGGTCAATGTAGGGATAAAAACAAGAGATGCCTTTTCATATCTGTCAAAGGAAGTTGGCAGCACTGAAAAATGAAAATATAGGATTTACAAAGCGATATTATTACAATTATGTGAACAAACAAAAGGTGACAGTGATTAGTGCAGGAGATGCTCAAAGTTTAATAAATCATTTCAAGGCTAGACAAGCTGAAGATTAGATCCGTTTTTGGTAATGAACATAGTCAACTTTTATGTGGTTTGGTAAAAAAATATATCCATGGGATCATCGACTAATGATCAAAATTACAGTCACTAATGGACTTAAATAATAAAAGACTCCTTCTTCTACTTGTCGCCAAAGTACTGTAAATCTCTTCGACTGGCACATCGCTCTCTCTTGAAAGTTTTAAATTTTTCTACTGAAGAACTTTAGTTGGTTGAACTCCTTTCAACTCTGCAAATCATATTTTTTAAAAGAATGTAAATTCTCCTCCCGAAAAACGTTAAATGTGGACTTCTCAGGCAAATGCCCCAAAAAGCGATCAATTTCATCTGTTTTGAGAATTATATAGAACAATCCATATAGACTCATTCTGACTTAATATTCAAGTAGAACTCAAACTTATCTCATTAAAACAATAATTATCTTCTTTTTATTTTTCTGCTTTACCAGATAAAATATAATCTTCTAATGATTATCTCCAAGATTTCAATTTTTTGTTCTCATCTTCTTTTGAAATTGACTCTGAATCTATCATGCTTAAACACATTATCTTCCTTTAAAATTTTAAATGGACTCAATCTTAAATCTTAGAAGATAAACAATTTACTTGAGTGGTGCCCCAAGATGCCAACACCAAAATACCCAACAGATTCGATGTTCTTTTACGCAGTTCAAGTTGACAAAGAAAATCGTATAACCAATTTTTTTCTGGAGGGAGATCAAGATCTAATTATGATTGTTTTGGAGATGTTGTTGTATTTGATACAACTTATCGTACGAACAAGTATGACTTGATATGTGCTCCATTTGTGGGTGTTATCATCATTGTTTGGTTGTGCATTTTTGTTAGATGAGACAACTGCTTCCTTTGACTGGTTGTTTTAATCATTTCTGGAATCAATGGGGAACAGGCCACCAATCACAATAAAGAAAGAAGCAACATCTTCAAGTAAGTTTTAATTTCCTCATTTTAGCTCTTCTTTTAGTTGATTTGTTCTCATTTCTTTTGCTTTTGTGTTCTCTTTATTATAATACCATACTACGTAAACAGAAATAAAACAAAAAACAAAACAAAACAAAAAACAAAAACGAAAAAAAAAACAAAAAACAAAACAAAGCAAAAAACAAAAACAAAAAAAAAAAAACAAAAAACAAAACAAAGCAAAAAACAAAAACAAAAAAAAAAAAACAAAAAACAAAAAACAAAAGAAGTGAATTACCCAACAATACATCCTCTTGTCAATTTAATTCATGAGGGACAACATACAAGTTTATATGGTCAATGACATATCTACTCTATTACCACAATATTTGTACAAGCAGTGATGAAGCCAGAGATTTTTATGAGGAGTGTTAATAACTACAACACAAATTTAAAGGGGTAAAAACATTATATTTTTAAATTTTTAGAGGGGGTTTTGTGCAATTTTTTTTTTTTATAGAGATTTTCTTATATAAATATAGGTAAAAAGGGAAAGGAAAAAATTAAGCCCCCTAATCCTTAATTAGCAACGTCCCTGTGTACAGGTACTAAATGTCTACTTGAAAGTTTTAATGAGTAATTAGTATGAAAAATCCATTTTGTCGTATCATATTTACTTGATATCATTTTACTTTAATGTGTTTAAGATCTTGTTATACATGTAACATTCATTTTACAACCATGTAGTAAAGTCTAACTAGGATATTTTCTCATATAAGTATTGTCACGATCGAAACGGGTGTCATTATTGGAGTTTAAATTAAAAATTAAATAGATTAATTAACAAAATTTTAAAAAATAAATATATCAAAATAAATATTAAAATATGTTGTTTTAGAGTTTTTTTTAAATAATATTAAAACAGTCTATAAATTTACAATTTTTCTCAAAACAATACAATTCTTGGACATTACCGACTGATATAGTTTACATACACAAAGTACAATACGACTCAGAATTTAAAATTGTGAAATCAAAATAAAACGAACCATCTCAAATCTCCAGCCTTCAATCTATTGTCGTCAACTTACCATGCGGTAAATCAAACTACGAACACTGGAGGGGAGAAAAACATTTAAAGCAAGGATGAACCAAATGCCTATAAAATAATCAAAGTGACACAAACAAGAGAAAATACAATGCATAACTCAAATGCAACTAAGAGACATATGTGAAAAACAAATAAGTCTCAACAAGCGAAATCAAATGTGGAACGAAACTGATAATCAAGTATTTCAAAACTCTTTAAAAATACTGTATCATTTTCATATTCATTTCAAAAGTAATAAGGTATCTTGTGATAATCCTAGCTAAGTAGTCGCCACTTAAACTCGCTAAATATATAATTGCTTAAAATACTTGAATTGAGTAAACTGAAATTACGGAATTTTTTATTTATTTATCAAATATAACTAAGAATATAAACTAAACTTTAATATTAATTAACAGATATTAGTTTTCAAATTATATAAGAAGTCCCAGTCTTCTAAAAACCATACTGCATACATATAATTAAA